GCCGAAAAGTGAAGGGTGACTTGACGTACGTCATTACGCAGCAGAGTCCGTTGATTCATGAGTTTGCCCGGATGCAGCTTCAGGCGATCGATGCACTTTCCCTAGCCGTTTCGGGGAGTACCAATGCCAGTATCAGCGCTATGCAGCTTCAGCCGACGCTGAGAGAAAGAATCCGGGGAGAACAGGCTTCTGACGAGTTTGTTCGTGTCATGGAGGCCAAAGTTCGCGTCGGAGGCGTCATGGATTTTCAGTTAGATGCCGATGGTGCCTTGGAGTTCAGAGGCAGGATCGTGGTCCCGAAAGTCGAGGCATTGCGGAAGGAGATTCTATCAGAGGCACATACCGCACCCTATCTGGCCCATCCCGGGAGCACGAAGATATATCACGACCTGAAAGGGTCGTTCTGGTGGCGAGGTTTGAAGAAGGACGTCGCCGAGTTCTTCAGGAGATGTCTTACCTGTCAACAAGTCAAAGCCGAACATCAGAGTCCGATCGGCCTCCTACAGCCACTGCCGATTCCGAGGTGGAAGTGGAAGGAAGTTACTATGAATTTCGTCACGGGATTACCGAGGTCGTCTGAACATCACGACGCTATCTGGGTCGTGGTCGACAGATTGACTAAGGTCGCTCATTTCTTAACCGTTTCGATGAAGATGTCTCTGGACAAGTTGACTGAGATATATACCCGTGGGATCATCCGACTCCACAGAGTGCCCGTCACTATTGTATCAGACAGAGATCCCAGATTCGTTAGTCGATTCTGGAACAGCTTACATGAGGCGATGGGCACGAAGCTAGAGTTCAGTTCAGCCTACCATCCGGAGACGGACGGTCAGTCAGAGAGGACTATTCAGACACTTAAGGATATGCTTCACGCTTTGGTTGTTGATAGGGGTGCTAAGTGGGAGTCACTGTTGCCATACGTCGAGTTCGCGTATAACAACAGCTATCATTCTTCCATTCAGATGGCTCCTTACGAGGCACTTTACGGTCGCAAGTGTCGTTCCCCGCTCTATTGGGGCGACGT